TGTGTGTGTGTGTGTGTGTGTGTGTGTGTGTGTGTGTGTGTGTGTGTTGGGGGGGTTTGTTTAGCAAACTATTCAAAGATTTATCTTTGTTCCAAGCCTTTTAGTGGCTTTCTATAGTAGAAAGAAGGTGGAGTCAGGATTTATAGAAAAGGGAAGGCAAGACTTGAAAAAACCACTCAGAGTTATGAAAAGAATGGTCAAATATGGCACTTGCAAATGTAGCTTAAGTGGGTCTCTCTCTCTTTTTGGCTAATATGAGAGGAGTTTAAAAACCCAAGGAGACAAATGTTAATGCTTTTGAAAATATAGGCAGATCATGTTTCTTGTCACACAGCTTTTTCTAAGTTCAAGTCTGGAATTGGAGCAGTTGTAGAGCAGGTTGAACTTGTTTAGTATTTAAAATTTCCACTTCATGCATTACAACTTGAAAAGGAACAATCTAGGTCTTAATCAACACCTGACAAGAAGCAGGACAAAGGAAAAAGATGTTTAGCTATGAATAATTCAGTGTGATCAATGAGTTGAGAAATAAGGTGCAAAATGGAAAAGAGACTCACCTACAGAAAACCCACAAGTCATGTTTGTATTAAACTTGTGTTAGAGGACATCAGTTGGGGGAATTTCCTTTAATGCACAGGTTTGATATTAATATTTTACTGTTATCTAAATTGGATGGTCTAGAATAAGTTTAAATACTTATAAATGAATGTTTCAACTTTATCAAATCACCTTTTTAGGCAAAATATTTGCCATTTATTAAAAGACAAAGTTTGGATTTAAGCAACTGTCCTATAACAGATTTTCATGCCCTCTATCTTCTTTGTTTTTGTATTTTTAGTCATAGTGGCTAAATGATTCCCCAAAAATATTCATGCCCATGGACCTGCTTATAGATTTATTTATCATTTGCTGTGTATTTGTCTAATATGATAAGATCCCCTCAAACTACACAATAAGGTACAAATTGCAGTTCAGCCACTGAGAAAAAGAAGTTTCATTCCAGACAGCTAAGTAACTGAAGAAATTCAATGTATTAAAAAACAAAATTCAGTGAGTAAATTTTAAAGATCTTATGGGCTTTATTTAATGATTCATGACTCTATAGCATCCATCTAACAGAAAGGAGCTTCAAAAAGGTGTACTAAATGAAAGACTTCCGTAGGCAGAAGGGAGTGGGGGAAAGGAAGTTACACTGGCAAAAAGTGGATTGGTTGTGGCAAGATAGATCACTTTCCTTTAGGGCATGGCAGTGGTCTATCAGGCAGATGACCTCACTAGTGCTAATAAGGCAGTTCCTGACTGACTTTAAGATTCCATTCCTGGAAGAAGCCAAAAGTGTAATTAAGTCTCTGGTGATGTGGAGCTTAGCCTAAGTGCCTCCATTTTGAGCCTGTTATCTTGTTTTTAACAAATGATTTAGCAAAAAGCCGTTTCTGCCTTATGGTAGAATATAGTTTTGTTTTGTTTTGTTTTGTTTTAACTGGTGAATAAGACAGGTTAGATAATTAGAAACACTAATTTCATGTGGCATAATACCTAGGAAGCAAGAAGCATAAATGAGAAGTAAAGACATTTTATGTATTGGCATTTTTGTCAGAATATCTTTTCTCAAATAACAAATAAGCATCTTCATAAATATTTTGAGTAATACATAAGATCTGATTCTAGGAGACCAATGTTATTTACTTATTCGTTAATTTAATGGGCAGCATGATGCACCAGAGACTGCTCTAGGTCAACAAAACCGACCAAACCCATCCCTTCTTGGAGCCCATGTTGAAGTGGGAAAAAAGAATAAAGAAACACAGGGCTGAATTATTATTGTAGGAAACACTCCGTCGTTTGACCAGATGTTTTCAGTAGTTTACAAGAATTAGAGTTGAAGGTTGGGATTTAAAAGACCAGAATAGAATGTACTTTTTGATAATGAACTTTGGTTTATGATACCATTCATAATTACAGATTTTTTTTAAAGTAGTTAAGAGCCATAACTAGTGAATATTTTCTCCAATCAAACTCTTTGCTGTTGTGTCACCATCTAAGGACAGGAACGTTAGCTCTTCCTCGGAGGTGAAATATTCCGTTTTAAGTTGAAAGCTGGTGAAGTGTTTATTTATAGACAGGTTATTGATAATGTAGTGGGAAGCAGTTAGTTTTTTGCATTTGGTTTTAGCACAATGAGAATCACGTGTGGTCTGTGTAACAGTCCGCCTGGGTTTCTAAGTGGAATGCTTCTAGTGGTCTTTATTGTCAATATTCGATTCCTGCATAGAGTAGGAGATCACCTTTCCTGTGATTAAAATGCTCCGTTGGGTACATGTGTCAGCTTTTGTTAAGGCATAGAAATTACAATCAAAGACAGTTTTAGGCTCATTTAAAAAAAATATTGGAAGAAATACGACAGAACTTACACAATTTGGCTATATTTAATTGATTTCTTTACTATCTGCTGATTTTACAGGTAGGATGTGGCAAAAGAATATGACCTTTACATTTATGAGACTTCCTCTGTGAAAATGGTTTATATTTGGGGTTGTCTAATTATCTATATATTTACCTTGGGAATGTGATTACTTCACTATAATTTTAGAGGAGTTGTTATACAGAGACAGTTTCCTTTACTTAGTTTAGTTCATTCATTCAGCAAATAAATATTTGAGTACTAGCCAAGCTCTGTGTGGTAGGATGGGAAAAACAGATATGACCCCCCTTCCAGTCTAATGAGGGACATTGAGACACAAATTACATAATCATTTTAACAAATGCAGAGGGCAGTAGGGGTGAGGACAGTGCCAGAAATGGACCCGGTGCCGTGAAAGTATGGAATAAAAAGATTTAACCTGGTTAGGGAAGACAGGAAAAGCTTTCCTGAGACTTCACTGAGATTTTTAAAAGTTGAACTTGGCAACGGGGGGGGGGGGGGGGGGGGTGGACGGGAAGAACATTCTAGACTAAGAAAACAGTATGTACGAAAGCCTTTAGGAGGGTAGAGTATGGGAAGTACAAGGAACCGAAACAAGGCCGGTGTGGCTAAAGTGAAAGCACCAACAGGGAATGTATTGCAAAATGGGATTGGGGAAGTGGGTGTGGTTGATATTCTCTAAAGACCCACCTCTTACTCCAAAGAGCCGTGCTTTTTGATATTCAAGTCCTTGGATAGGTCCCCTCCTTGAATCTGGACTGACCCTGTGATTCAATTTTGATTTACAGAATAAAGTAAAAGAGAGCTGAATGACTTTGGAGACTAGGTCATTAGAGGTCTTGCAGCTTTCACCTTAGTCTCTTATAAAGTGCACCCTGAGGAAAATTAACTTGTCTTGTAAGAATTTGAATGCACTGAAACTACCTTGCTTTGAGGAATCCCTAGCTAGACACGTGGGGAGACTACATGGAGAGAGGGATGCCTGACCAGCTCTCAGACATGTGTGTGAAGAAGCCATCCTGGATGCCCAGCCCAGTTGGGCCTTCAGATGATTCCAACCCAAGCCAAATTTTTATTGTACCTGCATGATAGATTCTAGATGATTACCATTCAGCTCAGGCAGAACAATCCACAGAATCATGAAAGGTAGTATTAAACTGTTGTTTTAAGTCACTAAGTTTTGGGGTGATTTGTTCTGCAGCAACAGATGACCAGAACAGTAAGTATTGTTCAGTCCAGGCAGGGTATTATTGGTCATGTTGAGAAATTTTGCCTTCAGCAAAGGGATGATCTGGTTAGATCTTTATTATTATTATTATCATTATTTAAATTGAAATATAGTTGGCACACAATGTTACATTCATTTTAGGTGAAGAACACAGTGATTAGTGTTTATGATATGCTATCTCGCCACATGTGGCTACATCTGTCACCATTCAACACTATTATAGTACCATTGATGATATTCCCTGTGCTGTACCTCTTATCCATGTGACTTATTCATTTCATAATTGGAAGCCTATATCTCCCACTTCCCTTTCTCCATTTTGCCCCCCCGCCCCCCACCCTCTGGCCACCATCAGTTCTCTGTATTTACGGATCTGTTTCTTTTTTTTTTTTTTTAAGATTTTATTTATTTATTTGACAGAGAGAGACAGCGAGAGAGGGAACACAAGCAAGGGGAGTGTGAGAGGGAGAAGCAGGCTTCCTGCTGAGCAGGGAGCCGGATGCAGGGCTCAATCCCAGGACCCTGAGATCATGACCTGACCCGAAGGCAGACGCTTAACGACTGAGCCACCCAGGCGCCTCTGTGGATCTGTTTCTGCTATTTGTT